AAACTGCCAGTTGATCTACGTTGAAACTCAGCCGTTACGAATCAGGCCCTATCAAAACTATACTGCTCCTCGGATAGGTTACTTATCCAAGTCTCTCTACGATGATTTAAGCAGGAAGTTCATCCCCTCTAATTCCATGGAATAAGGTCATGTTCATTGTTCAGTGTCGTCTAATTACCTACCAAATCCTTGTTCACTTCCACAAACGCTCTTACTAATTTCAGAGCTATGGAAATTGCAAAATCATTCTCTTCCACGAATGTTCTTACTAATTGTTTGAAGCCAAGCAAAATCAAAATTATGTTTGTTTAATGATTGAACAATGGAAGATTATTTTATCCCATACGATTTGAATATACGTTTAAAGTACCGAGGTTGGCAGTACTTGAGATTGGAAAACATGTCGAAAGTGCTGTCAGCAGTAAGCCCCCAAATCAAACAACAGATTCAACAATGGAAGAGCGCTGTGAGAAATAAACAACAACAGACAGACTCCAGAACAAAGGACCTGGATAAGACCCGAGAGGATATTTAAATTGACTTGCTTCCTGCAATAGCTAGAGGTAGATACAACGGTTAAATATTAATTACTTAGAAGGAGCGTAGGAGCTCTTGCTTAAACTAAGTAGGATTTGATAATGACCAAGGACTTTTGCAGTATAATGTATGTAAACTATGTATAATGTCATAAATGAGTAATGACGGATGTTCGCCTCCTCGTTATCCTAGTTAACTATTGGGAAGGAAGGTCGAAAGGATCAGATGATTACCAAGTAACTAGAAACATTTTGGCACAATGTCAACTACTCAGTCTCAAGAGTCTTGCAGATTTGTTCCAAGAAACAAAAATGGGAAAGTCTTCGAATAGGCTGCAAAATTGATAAGATCTCTGCTTTTGCAACGGAACTAATGTACATTAGACACTTTGTGGTCTGGTGTAATTGTAATCTGACTTCAATTAGAGCAAAACTCTTTAAGGTGAGCCGCAAGTCTGGGTACTTTATATTCTCAAAAGTCAATTTTATCTATAGCATTTTAATTTCCACGGAAATGACCGGTCAAAACCACAATATATCATGTCGTCCATTGCAGACAAGTATATGTAGGTACTTTACCAGTCATGTGTGAGTACAAGCTAGTACATCTACCCTGTGCCTACCTCTCAAGGATATGGTCGCTCAATTCTCATTACCATGATTGTGGTACTGGTGAGCTTTCTGGCTAGTCTAGGGTTTGCGGAGGGTTGTGGATGTAGTACCTACTCTGCTAACTTTGATTCGTTCGTTGAGTGCTTTACAAAAGGTTCGTTCTGCCAGGTATCAATGTTATCTTATGCTACCATTGTTGGAGTTCTTGGAGTTCTTACTTGACAATCGGTAAATCATACATAGTTTGAAATGCTGCTTATTGACGTCATATTTTTGATTTTATCAGTTATCTTATGTATACTTTATCGGACCTTATTTGACCGGACATTAAATGAACGGACATAATTATGAACGGACATTAAAATGAACGCTCGTCGCTCGAAGGCATGGCATTCAAAACCATCAAAAATCCAAATTTTGTCATCTTTTTTTTTGCGTTTTTAAAATATTATCAGATAATTTGTGAATTAATTTTTCATACAATGAGCAAGAAAAGTGGTCGTTAAACAGTAAAAAATTTCAAAATATCTGTAGATCAGTGTCTATGATTATGAAAGTTGTGTAAAAACAACAGATACGAAATATGACCAGATTTGATGATCACATCACTGATCACATGTCATTTTCCTCAAATGGGTTATCGTGCATTGAATATTCCAATTTCCATGCTTAAACATTAAAGCATCATATCAGTAATATCAGTAATACCTGCTTTTTAAAAACTATTATTTATTTGCCCACCTCGGTCCTGCATTTCAGTGTAACTGTAAACTTTTACAAGATGTGGAGGTAAATAATAACTCCGAAGAAATGAACGAGGAAGCCAAAGATCAAGAAAGTGATCATGCCATAATGTGATACTTAGAATATTTAAATTGTATAATAACTCGTTTTTGATTGATACATTGATAAAGTTTGGTCCGAATCCGATGAAAGTAGTTACAAATACAATTGACTGAAATTAGAAAGTTGTCATATCCGGAACATGAGTTCGCAGTGGAATAATTTTGGAAAAAATCTCAACGGACTTTAACTTGGACGGACCTTAAACGGACGGACTTTATTTGAACGGACATTAAGATGAACGCTAGGACCTCTAGCGTTCAATTAATGTCCGTTCAAATAGTATAATAAGTAAAATTTCGCAGTGGAATACTTTTGAGAAAAAAGAAATCCAGCAGACTTTGACTTTGACCGAAAACGGACAAACTTTATTTGAACGGACATTATAAAATAAATACCAGGGCCTTCAGCATCCAACTAATGTCCGGTAAGATAGGGAATCGTATAGATATGTAACATCAGATGTAAGACATAGCAAACTAACCCTCCCTCAGAGAGCAAAGTATACGCTAAATGTAAGGCACCTCTGGTGTGGACCAACTTCATACGAGGCTCACTAAAAACAGACGAGGAACTAACCTTGCTTGACTCGGTGAATGGTGACGGAACCCAATTCGGAGGGGTCCTTGCCTCTTCCTATTGCTCTATCTTCTCCAACAATACTGTAACTTTGTGTGGTAGTGGCTGTTCTCCGTTGCCCAATGACTACGAAACTAACTGGCAGGTAAACCAAACGTCTTGCTGTTTTATTGCATTTGTCGCTGTGTAATTATGAGCGGTTGTGGTTCTGAGTTGGGTTTGGTCGCCATAAGGTTTCAATCTTTAGCGGTTTAAAACCTCATTTAATTGTTTAACAGTCATGATTTCAGACTTGTAGAGTGAAAAAGTACCAAATTTAAATACTAGCTCATATGCCACAAATCACCCACAAACTAGTACGTTGCGTCTACTTTAATTGTCTATTTCAAAAACGATATGACCATCACCTTAATATGCAAATGTCTGAATAATTTTATTACATGGTATAACAACCGTCACATGATGGCTTTACACCAGGTATTCGATATTCATTCACGAACCTCATACTTTCAACATGCTCATCACATGAACTCAGGTACAGTACCACCCGAACTCTCCTAACGCAGACCTAATGGGAGCCCCGATAATAGCTAACCCTGCCTACGCTGCTGTAGTGCAGTGCAGAGAAGGGTACGCTGAAGCTGTGGGCAGCAGCACAGTAAGCAGTGTTACTTGCTCCCAATCAGGCTGGAACCCCTCCAACCTAACCCTCCTAACTACCTGCAGTCCGGGGTGTCCTGCTCCCAATATTACTCATGGTGCTGTGTCTCCGCAGGGTAGGAACGTCTCCGGGGCTGCTCCCTACACTGTGGGTAACTTTCTGAGGGTGTCGTGTGGGGACGGGTTTGTTTTGTCAGGAGGAGACTCACTAACTTGCACTGCTCTCATGAGGTGGAAACCTGCTGTCGCTCCTAGGTGTGTTACCAGGACTAGTTCTGTTATTAGTGCCGCCAACACGCACCATCCTTCTCTGTTTATTGCGCTTATATTGTCTGTTATTAGTGCCGCTAACACGCACCATCCTTCTCTGTTTATTGCGCTTATATTGTCCATATCTTACGTTGCATTTTAGATTTTTAATTTAAGTGGAAATAGAGATTATCTTACTTATCGTATATAGTTATGGTATTGCTAAAGTTGGAAAATTTTACCATTTCTGTAGGTTTTATTTACACGATGCTAGATGTGACTGTGAGCGTGTTTTATTTTAGTTACACTGGCTTTAACAATGTTAAATTAACACCCTTTTTGTGTAGAATTACTCTACTTGGGGCCTTCTACGAACAGTTAAGTGCACTTCGTAAGTTAAAATATGTGAAACTGCGAAGAATAAATAAAACGAAAGTAGAAATTACCAAAAACTGTGTTACGCATCCGGTAGCAACAGGGTTACGAAGGAAGACGTAAAGACCCCCAGCAGCTTATGATGAGTTCAAGAATGGGGCTAATTAATTACATGGGGCCGAGAAGGAGGCCATTTCAATGTATTGTTCGAGACCTAGTTAATTGGAGGGTAATCAGTAAACTCGTTAATGATCACTTACCGATATTCTTGAGGCCAGTCATTCCATTTGACGGAGCTTCAGAGCTCTGCTGAGTCTGTGCATTAGTTTTCGGCTTGAAGTTCAATTTGGACCAAGTTTCTGCAGACATATCCACGTAAATTCTCCTTCGTAGCTTCTCTTCTAATCGTCTACGCAGTGTTAACATTAGAACGGGTGTCAGTATATGGATTGTTACAGTAAAAAAAAACAGTTTGTGAAACGTGTGCGAAACACGATACAATAGTGGCTATAAGATAAAGAAGCGGAGGTGTCAAAGAGAAGCCAGGCCCCAACCGACCCGTATTAGACAACATCCAACACAATTGGGAAAGGCTCTGCCTCCATTTAAAATACAAAGAGCAATATGTAACCTTACGTCATGCGGATTACGGAAGATCTGGCCAAATCTCGGATATAAGTACCAAATAACTGATGCAGATGAGGGCTTGTAAAAGTAAAACCGAGCAAGTATTAAATATAGCAATATTGGTTCATATGGTTACGGTAAAATGGCGATTATATCTCAAAAGAAGGAGTATTATCGATCGGTTACTAGTCTTTAGTACGGAGCTTTATACGTCAGATGCTCTGTGCCACTGGTACAGTAGTAGACATCCGGGAATGGGGGGATGATAAGCGGTATGTTTACTGATGCAGGTATATTATTGGAGATCAGCTAATTGTGGCATGTTGTGGATTTATTAGAACTTAGGAGGATATATTCGTGGATATAGGTTGTTTTATTACACTTGTACTACAAGTTGTAGCTATGTGTAATTAGAAGCGGATGTGGTTATGAGTTGGGTTTGGTGGTTTAAAACCTCATCTATAATTGCTTAACAAGCGTGATTTCAGACTTGTAGAGTAAAAAAGTTAAAAGTGTCATATGCTTCACAAACTATTTTTAGAAACTCTTTATACGCATCTCGAAAATAAGTCAGTACAATTACAAAAATAATAGATTTTAAAAAATCAAAATACAAAATTACAAAAATCTTATGTTCAACAAGTTCATCAATCCGCATTATTCCTCAATAACATGAAACAAAACCAAATTTGCAATCACGATTTTTTCTGTCTATTTGTATACTTCTTAATCACTTCATAATTACAGAGAACCCCTTTATGGTCCACTCGATCTAGCTCAGAAAACTCGGTAAAATAATCAAATTATACGCATGAAGGTCATAACGAGGCTCCACAACGTATGCCATTACATAATGCAAGGTCCTCCAGTGGTCTAAGGTCTTGTATGCACAAGTAATAATGTCTATTAGAGCTCTCACTAACTCTAGTTACTCTTCGAGAGACCCGCTATAACAATCCTTTTAAGATAAGTAATGGAATTTAACTGGACGATTTTAGTCTTTGTCTTTGCCAGGTGAAATGCCATCTCGACGCCGTGTTACAAAATAAAAACAGACGGCACCAGTAGTATTGTGGAGATCCACCATATGACCACGTGGAAATACCACGTGGCAATCCGTTTTATTCAAATCTCTAAAATATTCAGATCTCTCAATGTCTGGAAACTGAGGGATCTGTAGTGGACAGTTCCAGAGTATTAGATAACAAATCCTCCTCTTCGCTGTCTTTTTGTCCTTCAATAGTCATGTTTTCTGTTGGAACAGCATCTTCTTTCACCGGGGAACTTAACCCTGAAATTATGATAGATAATTATGATAGATAATTATGAGCTGAAATTATGATAGATAATTATGAGCTTAACCCTGAAATTATGATAGATAATTATAATAGATAATTACAAATATTCGGAGAAGGAGCAAAGACTCGAAAATCTATTACACGCTCAAAACAAGGCTCGACTAAGCACGTTAATAAGTAATAACTCAGTATATCTTATACTAATTCTTTCATGAAAGCAATCAGAAATTATCGTGAAAGAATCATTATATGAGATCAATAACAGTACACGAATCACGATTAAACCAGATCATTCTACATAATTTGACAAAGAGGATTTAGCAACGAATCGGAGTTTTGAGTTTAGTCTCACCCAAATCCCCTCTAAGTTGGCTCCTAAACGCAAAGTTCTCCTCCCTCAGCAGTTCTATCTGCTTATTTTGTAAGTTCATCTGTTCCATTAAATCTCTGCAGGTCTTCTCTAGGTCTTCCAATCTGTTTTCTTCCTGAAGGAGACATGATGCTAGAATCAGAAGTTTCCAATTATTATCATCATCTCAGTCCTTTGAACCGAAATAAAGTAATTTAGCTACAATAAAATGAAAAGTATGCCAACTCCTCGGCCTAGTTGGGGACATCTCGTAAATGTAAATCTATTATTCCCGTATACAACATACAATATACATACATAATCCTTCACAATATTATTAAGTATTAACATAATTATTAACATTATTATGCTTCAAAAACAGCATATATTCAGAATTTCAAACTTATCTAGTTTCTATCTAGCACCTTCGAGTTAACCACCTTAACCACTCTCCCTCTAGATTTAATTAAACGAACCTGAATAGCAGGTAGACCACTGACTCTTCTCTTACCCTCACCACCACTCCCAAAGTGTGCCACATCGCTCAGATCATCTACAGTCGTGTAGTGTACTTCAGCTGGCACTGCCTCTAACAACTGCTGGAACTTTAACTTTAAGAAAGTAGTTTACTACTCTTATCATGTTGAAGATGGAATATTTATATTTAGTCTGTATGTTCACAATCTCACTATTTTTACCATAAAATGAGGAAACAATAACGAAATTCACGCCATCTATCCAAAATAAACCCACTCTACCACGGTTATACGTTATCTTAAAACCGATACCTGTTTTTCTTCCAGCTCCTCTATTGCACCGTCCAAGCTGTTCAGCTTCAAATCGAAAGCGTTAAGTTGGTCCTGCACCCGGGTGAAGTTATCCTCGTTACCCTGGGCTGCATCTGCCAGTTTTGTATTGAGGTGTCTGTTTTCTTCTGCGCACGAGTTTACCCCCGACTCCAACTCCAAAAGGATTGTCTGAGTTCTTTCTCCGAACTGCTCTACCGTGGTCTTGATAAAGTTTATTTCTTTAACCATCGATGATTGATCAATCTTCATTCGCTTGTTCAGAGATTTAATTTTCTCGTTAACTTCTGTGGTGAAGTCCTCCATCTGCTTTTTAAAATTCGGGAGCGTGTTTTTGGGGCGGGACGGAGTTCTGAAACCGTCAGTCTCCATGAACTGCTGGATGACGTCGGTAAATCCGTCCGCCATGCTGTTATATTCTGATCTGTAAATCGAATATCAATATATTTACCATACCTGGTCATGATAAATTAATGAATAATGATGTCTGATAGATGGATCAGTAACCAATTTTGAGACATATGCTATTGGTTTCAAACGCATCTAAATCTTACAAATTTAAATGTTTAAAAAAATCAATATTCACATTCAGGGATATTCACTATTCAGTCATAAAAGTTAAAGAATAGAGTCATTAGATTTAGAGGAAACTGAAAAGTGGTTTACCCGTTAAGAACATCCTCAATCCCAGTGATCCTGTCCTCCAACGCTATGGTACTGTTCATCTGATCTGCTTCCCGTCGCTTCATATCAGCTTTAGAGTCCCTGCTCTCGCGTTGCATTGTCTTCAGGGTCTGTACCATGTTCCGGGAGAGTACGTCCAGTGCTGGAATAGTACGGCTGTTAGCTGATGTGCACGTGAGGGTGATTTATATAATAATAGCCTATTTATTTGATTAACGATGTCAACCTTTCCAGATCGTTGCTCTGCGAATTAACAAAGCAACGATCTCGTCAACGATCTCTCTTTGATGCGAAGTAATAAGTATGACTTCGATAGTTTGCGCGGAGCGTCGAAGCGGCAAAGTCCTCCAACCTATTTATCATATTGTCGTGATCTGACAGCATTTTGTTTCGAGAAAGGGTGTCTAATAAACGACGACCATTAGTGACTTTTGTTAATAATTTAATATCATGATATTGAGTCACTTAATTAATAAGCCTACTTTTGATTTTCTGCTTGAAAGAATTTTCGTTTTCTCTAAAATCTGACTCCAGCTGACTTATTAGGGATACCAAATCATTGGAAAGCTGCTTGACCTGTAAATATTGTTTACAGAGAAAGTGTTTTAAAGAAAGTTAAGAAAATTATTCAATCATTACAAAAATTCGATCAACAAAAAAGGTGCATACAATTTCTCACAACTAATTCGTGAGCTGAAAAAAAAGTACTAACCTTCGTCATTTCCTGCGTGTTTTCGCCAGATCCACTTCTAACCCTGTTTTCCAATCTCTGTAAACTCGTGTCCTTGTAGATACTGGGGGGTTGGTTACTGTTGTTATTAAAATGGTTACTGTTCTGAATTTGATAAGTGTTCGTTTGAGGGAGATCGTGGATGTTGTTGACTGGAAGATCGTCACTGTTCAGGATACGTATCTTGTTTAGGTCAGAGGGTGTCACAGCGGTTTTGTGATTATTTCCGTTGTGAGAAGAAGTCGGTACGCTCGAATGGTAATGGTCCTTTAAATCGTGCATGCTGAAAATAATTGAATCAATGACCTCATGGCGTAACCATAAATCGTATCTTTATTTATTGAAATCCAATTTAAGTAAGATTACTACTCGTACTCGCTCAATAGATAGCATCATGGTTCAATAAAACATTTACATACTTAACTTTTTACAGACTCGACTATTTATAAACTTAACTTTTACAGACTTAGCTATTTACAAACTTAACTATTTACAAACTCAACTATTTACAAACTTAACTTTTTATACAGACTTCACTTTTTACAAACTTAACTATTTACAAACTCAACTATTTACAAACTTAACTTTTTACAGACTCAACTATTTACAAACTTAACTTTTTACAGACTTAACTATTTAAAAACTTAACTATTTACAAACTTAACTATTTACAAACTTAACTAGACTCTACCCGTCTGGTAGTTGTGTTATATCCGTTTTTACCCTCTTTTACCTGTTAAACTTAATAGTAGCCTCATCATAGGACGCAAACTGCGTATCAGATAAGTGCAGACTATATTCCTCACTACTTGCCACACTATCAGTAGTGTTGTTACTGCTGGATCTGTCTAATTCCACCATGGATATCCCCTGGCGGAGCCGGGAGTTACTGTTCTGAAGGGGTCGTGGCGGGAGACCGTCTGGGGGAGTGTTTTGTTAGATAATATTTCCAACCTGTTTTTATGTTGGTTGGATAATATGTGTGGATTCTGGTGGGGAGGTGAGGCATATTTTTCTGATTCTGCAGTTTGATAATCAAACCCCAGAATCAAACGTTGATTGGTCGATAGTAGAAGCTAATTGGTTAATTTCCTTCGTGTGTCAAAAAGATATGTTTCACCTCCCCACCAGAATACACATCACTTAATTTCTTAATTCGAGACAGGGAATTATACAGAAAGTGAGATCCCCTGGTGACACAATTGTTGAAATCCAGACGGACCCACCTCTAGCAGTAAGGAAGTACTTCCCCCCAAATCGTATAGGCTGGACACAAAGTAGGTTTTGATCAGATATTAGTTTCCATTGAGCCACTGGCTCGAAGTTACAGGAAATTTGGAGAGTCTTCTCCCGGGTCACCGTCATACTCCAAATGTCTTGCCGCTCGATAGTTGTCATACCTGAAACGTTTGAGACAACTTCAAGGAATGTTTTTCCAAAACTTAAATAATGTAGATCTGCTGACGTTACAGTGTTTTGGTTGTAGTTGTGTCTCGTTGTCTATTGGTCTAAGAATTTAGAAATTGTGCTGAGTCCTGAGAATAAGATGGAAAGAGTACTTTTGAAAAACAAGAAATAAATACAAATATGATGATCTTAATAGAAACGCTCTGATTTGTCGTATCCTTAGAACGAATTGTTACGGTGTATGCCTGGGCAGCTGGAACCTTGAGAGTGGACTGAATATGATCTACTGTCGTCGTTAATGTACGTGTGTGATGTCATTCACTGTCGTGACGTCATTGCAACGGCATTGCAACGATAAATATTCTCATAAGTAATATTCGCAAAGTTTGTAAGTTTCTTATACTATGGCAACTGATTGTTCATTAATTGTGTCTAGATACAGATCTGATATCTGAGAGAGAGCGGATACCCACAAACAGGAACTGACCCGACCGAAAGTCTGCAGTTGTAAATAATTTACACTGTACAGCGGCAGTCTACCCATAATACTTAATGTGAATACTCCACCGTTACTATAACACTGCTTATATTTTCTAACTTTATATTAATAATTTATTTATTTAATCAATTATTCAAATAATTAACTATTTAATTGATTAAATATACTCACACTCTATCTTATAAGTTCTGATCCCGTCAAAGTAGGTTATACAACCCACTTGCGTGTCCCAGCTTATGTAAACCCTGAAACAAGGTTTATTATATTATTAAATTTATTATGTTGTATTATTAGAAAGTCATGATCTAGTCAGGGATTTTCAAAATCACAAGCCATGTAAACCCATTTCATGTATTGATAAGGGGATGTCATCCTTTATCGAGTTTTTATACTGAAACCCAAACGTTCTCTACAATCATTAAAATAATCTCACTGTCTTCTATCAGGATCGAAGTAGAGTTTGATCTTGAAGCGCTTGTTTGGAGATATGCCAAGAACGACCCAAAACAAGGAGAATTCCTCTGGTACCTGGTACTTGACCCCCCTCCGTAGGTCCTTCCAGTCTGGACAGACAGGGTAACAAGGTGAGAAACTTTCTTGAGAATTAAATTTCTTACTTCTTTACTTTTACTGTCTGTACTCTATTTTGTCGGTTATTTGTACTTTTTTGATATTATGCCGCCGGTATTTAGGTATTAGTTATGCGGAAACGATTTTGTGCCGTATTTTATCGTCTACATTAATTGCGTCCTTTATTTAAGGTTCGCGCCATGGTTAATGTTTTAATGATAACCAACAAATAATCGCACAGTGGGTTTTGTGTGATACGCATAATCGTTCAATACTTCATTGAGTTTGTTCAATATTCATGAAAGGTAAGCTTACCATCGTAGATGCGTTTGACATGATTCTTCTCCTGCTGTGAGTTGAACTCCTCGTGCACTGTACTAATCAGTTGTTCGCTCGAACTCGGGAACTCTAAATCTGAAATGAGTTTATTAGTGCTCTAAAGTTTACAGATTCACTGAGGATGATTCTCTTCTTATAATGACTAAATTGGAGCGACTAAATAATGGCGAATTGGAGCAAAATGGTCGTATTATTCGGTAAGGGCAGTATTTACCCGATATTTTTAAAAGAATTTTACAAAAAGGACATGTTTCTTAGTGTTGGTTGCATCCGAAATTTAGAACGTTCAGATTAGTCCTAAATAGAGTTAGCAGACATGTTTAACTTACTGCAGAGCTGTCACGTTAATATAGTGACCTGTCACGTGACCTGTCACGTTAATAGTGACCTGAATTATTTGCTGATGAACACCATTTAACATCCTGGCCTCAGCATCTAAACGATTTTATAGCTCAAGAAAGTACAATGAATGGGAATTAAGTTGGGTATTAGCTTGACAAAAGTGTCACTCTTAGCTAAATATTTCATACTCCTTTCGAAAATCCATGCAGTGGGTATAAGCTATAAATAGTATTTAGATAAAATATATTAAACCGCTACCACCTCCTCTATCTGGAATGTCGGTGTGCTATCCGCACAAAATCGATATTTCCCACACTCAGGTTATTCGTTGTCTGCAACCCGTTTTTACTTTTTGGCATCTATTTTTTCTATAATCTCCGCGATGTTGAATACTTAATGAGTTCACGCATACACGAATACTAACGAGAGTGCGAATATAACAGAATGATGACGCGAATATAAAATATTGTCAGGCAATTGTGTCGTGTATCGCCATCGGAAAACCCAAAAATACATTATCACAATAATGGCAGGCTCTTGGAGCGCTGGCATAAAGTATTGTCAAATTATCTAATATATCTACATATCTCACCACTCGACAATTGAAAATTTTTCTTTTTTTCTCGTCTATTTATCATAGCGTGCTCTTTGCACACTTTGCACACATAAAAATGAGCTATTTGCTGTTTAGTACCCACAAAAACTGAATTGTTTCAGCCTACAATAATGAACTAGACTTGTTAAAAAAACTCGTTAAGAGTTGACGGTATGCTCTAACTCTTGCTCTAAATTCCGATCCTGTACAACTTGCTTCACTTCCGTTTGTAAGTGGCCTGTCAGTGCGTGCAGTGACAATCATCTTATTGATCGTGTTAATGACTTGGACATCGAGCCGCAACCGGTAACTTGCCGGTCACTGTCCGTTTACGAGCCTGTTAATGCTGTTTATCTTTTTATAAATAGATATCCCTATTAGCAGGTCTAGTCAGTGTACCAGGCATTTTGAACCCCTACTATGTAGAACTGTGTAGAACTGTGTAGAACTGTGTAGAACTGCATGTAGAACTGTGTAGAACTGCATGTAGAACTGTGTAGAACTGTGTAGAACTGTGTAGAACTGTGTAGAACTGTGTAGAACTGTGTAGAACTGTGTAGAACTGTGTAGAACTGTGTAGAACTATGTAGAACTGTGTAGAACTGTGTAGAACTGTGTAGAACTATGTAGAACTGTGTAGAACTGTGTAGAACTGTGTAGAACTGTGTAGAACTGTGTAGAACTGTGTAGAACATGTAGAACTGTGTAGAACTGTGTAGAACTGTGTAGAACTGTGTAGAACTGTGTAGAACTGTGTAGAACTGTGTAGAACTGTGTAGAGCTGTGCAGTGGCTTACCCTTCAATTGCAGGAAAGTTGAGCTAGTGTACTCAAGTGTTTGATCGTGTCAGCGTATTATTCTCACTTTGCTGATAGGATCTGAACAGAGCTCGTCAAGCTTTTGTACTACCCAGTGCACACCTGTGTTTGTTGCTAATATTTCATGGTTCCTTGTCTGCATCTCTGAATAGGACTGCTGTCAGCTAGAGAAAAAGGGAGAGTATGTGTTGTGCTGGTGTGTTGACGGCCTGGACAATTACTTGTTACCTGTGGACTGTGGAGCAGAATTTAAATTCCTATACGTTATTTGTCTCAATTATTGAAAAATATTTCCTTGTGTTTGAATCTGGATATTTTGCGATATGACCGTTGTTGGGGGTGAGTTTTTGTTTGATAAGACATTCGGGGGGACATTTCTCTCTTACGATTCTTGTTCGTGGTATACAACGTTCTGTTAAATGACTTAAATGTCTAAATGTCGTGATTACAATCCTATGCTGTCAACTCTCCCAACTTGTGCATATTTTGTAATTCCGTGCCATTAATGGCTTGTAACGTTGAGACTGTTCAACAGATAGAACCTATGACACCACCAGGAATTACTCAGGGTTTAGTGTTATCCGCATTCTCAAATCATTTGCTTTATTCTGGTGTTAAAAGTGCTGGAGTTGACTAGGTGCGATTAATTGTGACTATAACTCTATAATATTATGCCATTTCTATTGACTGTTGCAATTGGAATCGCGCGAAATGAGGCTGATCGCATTTGTTGCCTATTTTTATCGGAAGGATTGTTTAAATATTTGGCAGGCTTCGTGTTCTACTGGTATTTTTGAAAACCATTTCTGATATCGTGTTAATCTTATATACATATTAAGCTACAAATTCCTTCATATAATTTACAAGATTTAACAATTATCGCATTATCGATTATATTAACATCAATATCAATTCCAAAATTTTCTTTTTCTTCTTTGTAGTGGGCTGGGGTCATGGTCAAAATAACCACTATTATAAAATAGAGCATTGGAGCCCTGTGCAGTGTGTATGTGGAAAGTAAAAGTTAAACTTTTAGGTTTTTCCACATTTGGTGAATTATTTCGACGCGTTTATGAGGCAAATAATCCTTGGAAGTGAGTAGCTGTTTCCAGTGTGATTCCCACTATATGTCTGTCACACTAAGATAAAAGGAGTCAAAGTATCCTCCTCGTTGGAAAGACCACTTTGGGCACTGATCAACCAAGTGATTCATTGCCTCCTCTTCCATGAGGCAGCATGGACAATGGACAATTTTTAGGGATAGTAGTCGGCTTATATTTGTTAAGTTGGTAGTTTAGTTTGCAGTGTTCGATAAGGAACCGTGTCGCTTTTTCTCTAGACTATTGCAATTTTTTTAGCTTTACGGCTTTTTAGTGGATTGTGGACTGATGTCAGCAGTCTGGCTAGGGCTGAGTGTCATATTTCAGACTCGATCATCACTATTAGCCCATGTTTCCGTAGCCCATGTTTCCGTAGAATCTGTATTATAGCTGGGTTTAATGAAGGATATAGCGAGCGACTGCACGTGCGTTTGAGCCCACAAGTTAAGCCTAAACTATGCCTTTGTCATTTTAAATTAAGTAATTATTTCGTTAACGTTAACATTGTTAATGCATCAAATAAAGTGTCACGCACAAATTCACGACCTGCATCAATAAAAACATATTATTTTGCTTTTTTATTCGTGTATAAGACAGTACGCACATAGCCGTTCACAAAGCAATATTTAAGGCCAAAATTGTTGATACCTTGACAACCTTTATTTTGAATGCAAGCTGGCTACAATTTGAAGAAATTCTTCAACTTTTCTTATAATTTTTAACATTTTCAGTTTTTCGTACACTTGAAGCCCGATTAACATTCTGCGGTAAGGTATTAATTCAACTTGATTAAAAGTAACGGGATTTGAAGAACATCTTATTCTTTGAATCATGTGCTCCATGCTCATCAACAAGATAAGCAAAATTAATTTCTACTGATTATAATTGTTGACACTGTATCTGGCACATCCGACGTATAATTCTTACTGATTGCTGCATTTTTACAACATTTCCCTATATTCTTAGTCTAACCTGTAAAACGCCAGCTCCATTGTAAAGATATTTACAAAAATGTGTCCATTATTTTTTCAACAGTTTATATAAAGCTGAAATGATGAGGAAATATTTACATTTCATAAGCTTTGCAAGTGAAATGATGAGGAAATATTTACATTTCATAAGTTTTTCTCTTAGAGCATAAGGCTCTGCTCACATTATAGCTTTCATCGGTTGGAATAAACTCACATGTGAAAGGCAGTGGAAGGCATACCGTGGTGCCAATGAATTACGAATGTTATCGCTTGAAAAGTTTAACACCGCAACACCACTTGATGGTACACATGTGGCATTTAATGTGCAATTCTCTTTGTTCTTTCCAGTTTTTATACGCTTGTTCAATTCTTACGAAAGTTGAAAATTTAATGCTTGTGTCAATTTCTGCTGCCAGTTTTCCCAGCATCTCAACATTTAATGCTAGCACATACCTCATAAGCTTAACGAATAGAATTCACATAACGACGTAACATTCCCCAATGTTAATGAATCTTCATGTTCGTACCACTATAGAAGCATAGCTTAACTGATGAGTGCGTATAAAGTAAAATAGCACAACAAATGACCCGTTGTGGCACTGGCTGACACAGCAATATCACGTGCCACGTATTTCACCTCAAACTAAACAAGCCAACTTACAGTTCAACTCTTTGAAGATTCCTATGGTTCTAGTTCTACAACTATGAGAATGGACTATTGTAGACTTGTCAATTTCAGTGAAGTTGAACAGAGAGTTTCAAGTACCCTTGTAACTGGGTTTATTGTGTCTTTATCCGTCTTTACCTGAGCTGGGCTCCCATCTACTTGCCCAACCCTAGCCCATGGAGAATCTGGAGTAATTATATGCTGTTTTTAGGTCCCATATCTGCTTAGCTCAGAACATTCCTGCACAATTAATGTGAAATTTCTCAGGACTCCGTTTCTATTCCCATGCCAAGTTTTATTTGATTCAACAAAAATTCAAAATCCAGCTAAGCTATCACGCTGAATTGCCAATCTAATTTTATTTACACGTTTTGTTCGAACCGCTTTGTTACTCACTGCAATTAAAATATTCAATCAAAAAAGCGGCGTCCCCTTTCGGTATTTGGTAAATTTGATCAACTTTACATTAAGTTTAGTATTGTACTCACCATAATGCGGTTATACTTCATACATCGTACTCACTATAATGCGGTTATACTCATACATTCTACTCATCATAATGCGGTTATACTCCATACATTGTACTCACCATAGTGCGGTTATACTCATACATTGTACTCACCAAAATGCGGTTATACTTAATACATTGTATTCACCATAATGCGGTTATACTCATACATTGTACTCACCATAATGCGGTTATACTCATACATTGTACTCACCATAATACGGTTATACTTCATACATTGTACTCACCATAATGCGGTTATACTTCATACATTGTATTCACCATAATGCGGTTATACTCATAAATTGTACTCACCATAGTGCGGTTATACTCATACATTGTACTTACCATAATGCGGTTATACTCATACATTGTACTCACCATAATGCGGTTATACTCATACATTGTACTCACCATAATGCGGTTATACTCATACATTGTACTCACCATAATGCGGTTATACTTCATACGTTGTACTCACCAAAATGCGGTTATACTCCATACATTGTACTCACCATAATGCAGTTATACTTCATACATTGTACTCACCATAATGCGGTTATACTTCATACATTGTACTCACCATAATGCGGTTATACTACATACATTGTACTTACCATAATGCAGTTATACTTCATACATTGTACTCACCATAATGCGGTTATACTTCATACATTGTACTCACCATAATGCGGTTATACTCCATACATTGTACTCACCATAATGCGGTTATACTCCATACATTGTACTCACCATAATGCGGAATAGCGGATATGTTGGTTTCAGAGTAGGCACTCTCCATCTTATTATCGGTCTGACTTCCCTTCCAGCGACCTGTTAGCTTCTTCAGCCCCGACTGAAGCTTCTTAGTGGACAAACCTGTAACAAGGAAGTGTTAATTAGACGTTTGATTATTGGTAATTGGTCTAATTTGCTTAAATGGAGACAAAGTTTACGTCGGAATGTAATTAAATTAATTATTTAAATGTTTTGATCATCAGCTCTTCCCAGGGCTATCATACAATTAATCTGACTTGCGTTCTAGCGCTAATAAAGCAAAAAAAAGCAACTTTAATTGGCTGGCAGCTTGTTTTTGTCGTGACCACGATATGGTTGCGTTATTACATGTTTTGTTAATTAAACTATCTAATTCTCAGCGACAAAAATTGTTTTTAAAAGGCTTATTTTGAGATGTGTATTGTAAAAGTGTTGTTTCGTACCGTGTCCATCTTTGTCCATCAGGTTTGGAGTGGATTGACTCAATCGTGACCGGAACCCTGAAATACGTAATATATTTGTTGAAAATAGTTTTAAAATTGAGAACTGACTTTTCATCACTTCAAATTTAAAAGATTACGAGATATTCCTTTTCAGCGCAATATCTTAAAATTGTAATACCATAAATAGAATTGGTACTGTCATTGGCACAAATTCGGTTAATTTTTTACCTGATGGAATGTTGCTTCACAAAAGCGGAAAACGTACGGTTGTTATTCGGGCCAAAATTCAACTTTTGATAATCAGTCTGTCTATATCCAGTTCTTGTTAGCATGAGCATTCACGCATATATTCGATAAAGTCTGGTTCGAATTGTACAAAATTATCGAATATGTCAGTTTAAGGTTACTCCGATTGTATATGTCTAACTAGACACACCCTTTTTATCGTGGATTTAATTACATGTGCCGTATATGAATTAAGACTATAAGCAATGTTCCCCGTTATGAACGAGACGGATCATGGTAAATTCAAGCTAGAATTACGAGAAGATGCCTTATGATAGGAATATTTAATATGGTGCGAAATTGTTAAGCTTTGATTAGTAACCAACCGTCTAAATTACATTGTCCAAAGTTTAATTATATTGTACAAGTTATATACACTTTGGATAACTTTTAATAACTGTTGCTAAAATATTTCGTGGTATCATGCCTAATACTGTTTGTATACTTTAAGACGATTAATCAACCCCGCTTGTAAACTAATTTGAACTAGCAGGATCCCGTCTAACCCTAAATAAAAGTGGTGTCAAGACTCGAGAGACTAAAATAATTATTACCTATTTAATTCGCGTTTTTGACACCACTTGGGAGTCCAAATTTTGGGCACTAAAATTCTTATTCCTTGGCCAATTTTGTATTTCTTCATGCTGATTTGAAGGCCATTAAAGCATTTGACCCAGTCAAAAAGGTTTCAGTTGTATATCTTTTACGGTTTTTGCGGAAAGTCGCGTTAAAGTTGATGCCGTGGTGTCAGTAAAATGGCACGGATCCATATATATATATATCGTCTCGCTTTATATATAGTAAGATATGATAAGTTAGATATAACTCTCTGTTCACAATTAATATATCCGAGTGTAGTAACCAGCTACACGCTCTATAAGTCACAAGATATACACGACTTATCTGCCTCACTATCGACACGTATCTGGGTGGGGAGGTGTTACTGGGCCGCGCTCAGCCTGTCATTCCGCCAAATGTTTATGAACATAATAGCCTGGGGTCCCCAGGTAAGGGAGGTGAAGCATACTATTTTGAAACGTGGCAGCGATTCTGAGGCTTGATCGGTCGATAGTCTATAAATAGTGGAAGGTGGTGGGTTTACTGTCATAACAAATATGCCTCAACTCCCCACCAGACTCCACAGCAGGGACAAAAGGATTTCGCGGTCATTTTGGCCAAAAATCGCGATACTGCGAATTAAATTTCGCGGTATATTAAACTATACATAAAATTTGTCGCAAATAATGGGAAAAATCGCGATTCCGTACATGCCGCGATTTCATTTTGTCCCTGCTCCACAACTGCAGGTCACTCACCAGGGTTAGAGTGTGTCACGTGACGTGACGGAGCCCCCTCGCTCACTTGGAAGGTCAGCCTTTTACTGGGCTTCTCTCCTTCTCGCCCATGTTGTCTGGAGATTCCTGAAGTTGAAGCTTGTTAAACGTTGTTGGGGGGGGGGGGGGGGGGGGATATAAAAAGGCATTTAAAGTCGAAACATGTGCGATTGGTGCAGGTCGAGGGTCAAGCACTATTTTTAAAGGTCTGTATTTAACTCTTTAGCTAGAGTCCCAAGAGCAGCAAGTCTTCTAGTCAGCTGTCAGATTAAAGGAAATGAGTAATGAACAGATTACAACAATTCATTTAAATAAAATATTTTCTTTACAATTATACTGATTTTACGAGTTGGTCGAATGTCTACCGTCGCCGGTCTGGATTCACAATGGGAAGTAATACTAATTAGTCAGTGCTATTTTACGTTTAGACTTGTTGAAATCGGATGCAACCCACAGAAAATAGTGGTTAATGAAGATATCATTTCCCTAAAAAACTGCGGACTGTATTTAGTATGGGAGAAAATGATAATATAGATTCATCTTTGCCGCTTCAATAGAACTTTCTATTTAATTTAATTTATGTTCTAGTCAATACACGTCAACGAACTTGAGTATTAAAATGTGATCGAATGTGATTTTTCAGTGCCTTCCCTTTTGTCATAGCATGCTTAACCAATAAAGATCTACTTAGTATTTCTGTGACCCTTGTACTTATTGGTTTTAGAGTTAAATCCTTGATATAATTAGCTTTGACTGACTGATTCTGCTTGATCCTGATTTGATTACAGATAATTGGCCTTCCGCAGTTTCTAGCTCGTTGCTAATGGCCTTTTAATGGGCAATTTTTAATTTCCTTAATATTTTGGTAATTTGGAATATCTTTTCCTGCACCAAGTTATAGAACAACGGACATTTCGCTTCACTGAACTTGTTTTATAATAGACTGTAAGCGGTTCGTTATGTCACCCTTTCCTGTGAAGGTGAACATGAACTTATTCAGTTTAGAATTTTGAAAGTGTACATATCAAGTCATATGATTTTCGACGTTTTTTTTTTGGCTTGTTGACATATATAGTGTCAATCAGAATTCCGAAATATTTTCTTACCAGTCCTTTAGAAATAGAAATTCTTTAAATTCAATTTTTAACCCACTTTTTTATTTGATGGTTGGTACTCAAGTGACCAATACCTATTTTATTAGCTACTATTAAATCCTGAATTCTTAGACCCATTCTAGACTAATAATAGAACAGGTTACCAGCCTGGCTTTTACATTCCACTACCAGGGTGGTAATAGGCTGCTTCATTTCGTTCTGAACAGTCCAAATGAGTAAATGACCGGTTTCGATAGGTTTGTTATTTTATCTGTCACGTTTCTTAGGAAATTGTAGGGCCATGCTCACAGTTTGTCTTAAATATTGGTTAAAGTTTTAACCTATTCTCTTATCAATACTTATTATTATGACATTCTCATTTCTTTATGTCAATAAAACATTTCTGTCCACGTGTGACCTCAACAAAAACGTAATCTGTAAGGACGTACCCAGAAAAGGGTAAGTTAACAATCAGCTGGATGCTTAGTCGTTTGAATTGATAGAATGATTGAGCAATATAGAATTGTGAAATATGTATTCTATAGATAATGGCAATGCCTAATGGTTTCGTTAAATATTTTTTGTAGGAAATTCTTTTTTTGAAACTTGAAAGTGGTCGTACAAATTTTTAAATGCAAGAATTTGAGGATTGCAGCCATTCAGCGACAAATAAATATTTTGATGAACCGTGGATTAATACTGGACCACCCATGGAGGAAAGGAAATGACCGGCAGTAGTAAATACTGCACGGCGGGGGATACGATTGTTCTGCATATCCACTAATTTGTAGTGGATATGTTATACTGGGCCAGGTTAATCACAGATCTAATATCTGGAGATTTTGTAAAAGAAGGGCTTAAAGAACTGTACAACATCACGTGGAAATTTTAAAATGAGCAGCTGCATGGACCGCATTTGTGAATCATGTCCGTCCGTACGTCGGTCAGTCCGTCGGTCAGTCAGTCCGTCGGTCGGTACTTCGGTACGTCGGTCAGTCCGTCGGTCAGTCCGTCGGCGTGTCCGTGCCTATAATAATAACCGTAACTAAAAGTGTTACATTTGGTGTAACTACACTTACCCTGCATCTACAACACAGCCACCACAACACGCATAGCAAACACAATCGTTATAACAATTACAAACACTACGCCGGATCATTAACATAAACAATCATGAGTCTTCTTGTTGTGGCGTGTGAGCCGCACTTAGTGCAAATCTGCAACAATTAAAATAGAACAGTGGTCGTTAAGCCTAGCTAGTAGGATGATGATGATGATGGTGGGAGTGTTGTGTGAAATGGTGTGTGAAGTGTTGTGTGGAGTGTTGTGTTGATTTTAGTGGGGAGGGAGTTTACACTGACACTCTGACAGTTTAATCGAGTGTGGACTGATGTGGTTGAGTGAGTTTTCACAGTGTTGCGTTAGGCGGACGACTTAGTATTTAGCAGCTATGTGTTACTTGCATATTATCATGGAACATTTAGTCAAATGTAACAAATCAAAGTAGGAATGAAATGATGATTATATACGGATATTTGATGAAATTATGCATGTCGAAACTCTCTAGTAATAAAGTATGATTTGTCATTGTGACAAAGTGAGCGGCAGGCCAGAACAGAACAGAAGCACAGATCAAACTAGAAGCAAGATTAGTGAAATGACACAGTATCCGCACTATAACACACATGGTTAATGTTAAATGTTCTCTGAACACAATTCAGTATAATACCTGCCAAATCCACGCCAGATCCGTACCAATGACTCACATTTCCTAGCCCATCAACAACCAATCAGACAGCCACACAGCCTCTCCCAGCCAATCAGAAGACCGCTACATCGCCACCCTCCAATCACACTGTCGCCACCGTTCCATCCTCCAATCAAAACGTCACCAAGTCCTCAGCAGCCAATCAAAATGTCCTTACCCTCCTAACCGCCAATGGGGTGTAAGTGCGGTGACCAGCGCTTCAATCTAACTGGAGCAAATTACTGCTTGTTCGGTAACTATGGTAACAACTATGGTAACTATGGTAACAAGTGATCTTCAGATCTAGTCTCTAAATGCACATTCATTATCACCTGCACTGGATCTGATCTCTCACTGTAACGTTACATATAGCTGATAACATGTAGGTACAGTACAGCCCATGAATACATGCGAACTCAACAATCGACACTTGCAAGACCTTGTCGGGGTATAAAAATGACCGGGAAAGGAAAATTGTTGAATACAATTGACGTCTGAAACTGTTAAAATTAAAAACAGGAGACGTGTTGTGTTAGTAACGTCTGGTGTTTGGTGAGTGTTAGTTAGGTCTCTGGGGTTCCGACAAGGTGTCCTGTGGTGAGTGTTAGTTAGGTCTCTGGGGTTCCGACAAGGTGTCCTGTGGTGAGTGTTAGTTAGGTCTCTGGGGTTCCGACAAGGTGTCCTGTGGTGAGTGTTAGTTAGGTCTCTGGGGTTCCGACAAGGTGTCCTGTGGTGAGTGTTAGTTAGGTCTCTGGGGTTCCGACAAGGTGTCCTGTGGTGAGTGTTAGTTAGGTCTCTGGGGTTCCGACAAGGTGTCCTGTGGTGAGTCTTAGTTAGGTCTCTGGGGTTCCGACAAGGTGTCCTGTGGTGAGTGTTAGTTAGGTCTCTGGGGTTCCGACAAGGTGTCCTGTGGTGAGTGTTAGTTAGGTCTCTGGGGTTCCGACAAGGTGTCCTGTGGTGAGTGTTAGTTAGGTCTCTGGGGTTCCGACAAGGTGTCCTGTGGTGAGTGTTAGTTAGGTCTCTGGGGTTCCGACAAGGTGTCCTGTGGTGAGTGTTAGTTAGGTCTCTGGGGTTCCGACAAGGTGTCCTGTGGTGAGTGTTAGTTAGGTCTCTGGGGTTCCGACAAGGTGTCCTGTGGTGAGTGTTAGTTAGGTCTCTGGGGTTCCGACAAGGTGTCCTGTGGTGAGTGTTAGTTAGGTCTCTGGGGTTCCGACAAGGTGTCCTGTGGTGAGTGTTAGTTAGGTCTCTGGGGTTCCGACAAGGTGTCCTGTGGTGAGTGTTAGTTAGGTCTCTGGGGTTCCGACAAGGTGTCCTGTGGTGAGTGTTAGTTAGGTCTCTGGGGTTCCGACAAGGTGTCCTGTGGTGAGTGTTAGTTAGGTCTCTGGGGTTCCGACAAGGTGTCCTGTGGTGAGTGTTAGTTAGGTCTCTGGGGTTCCGACAAGGTGTCCTGTGGTGAGTGTTAGTTAGGTCTCTGGGGTTCCGACAAGGTGTCCTGTGGTGAGTGTTAGTTAGGTCTCTGGGGTTCCGACAAGGTGTCCTGTGGTGAGTGTTAGTTAGGTCTCTGGGGTTCCGACAAGGTGTCCTGTGGTGAGTGTTAGTTAGGTCTCTGGGGTTCCGACAAGGTGTCCTGTGGTGAGTGTTAGTTAGGTCTCTGGGGTTCCGACAAGGTGTCCTGTGGTGAGTGTTAGTTAGGTCTCTGGGGTTCCGACAAGGTGTCCTGTGGTGAGTGTTAGTTAGGTCTCTGGGGTTCCGACAAGGTGTCCTGTGGTGAGTGTTAGTTAGGTCTCTGGGGTTCCGACAAGGTGTCCTGTGGTGAGTGTTAGTTAGGTCTCTGGGGTTCCGACAAGGTGTCCTGTGGTGAGTGTTAGTTAGGTCTCTGGGGTTCCGACAAGGTGTCCTGTGGTGAGTCTTAGTTAGGTCTCTGGGGTTCCGACAAGGTGTCCTGTGGTGAGTGTTAGTTAGGTCTCTGGTGTTCCGACAAGGTGTCCTGTGGTGAGTGTTAGTTAGGTCTCTGGGGTTCCGACAAGGTGTCCTGTGTTGAGTCTAAGTTAGGTCTCTGGTGTTCCGACAAGGTGTCCTGTGTTGAGTCTAAGTTAGGTCTCTGGTGTTCCGACAAGGTGTCCTGTGGTGAGTGTTAGTTAGGTCTCTGGTGTTCCGACAAGGTGTCCTGTGGTGAGTGTTAGTTAGGTCTCTGGGGTTCCGACAAGGTGTCCTGTGGTGAGTGTTAGTTAGGTCTCTGGGGTTCCGACAAGGTGTCCTGTGGTGAGTGTTAGTTAGGTCTCTGGGGTTCCGACAAGGTGTCCTGTGGTGAGTGTTAGTTAGGTCTCTGGGGTTCCGACAAGGTGTCCTGTGGTGAGTGTTAGTTAGGTCTCTGGGGTTCCGACAAGGTGTCCTGTGGTGAGTGTTAGTTAGGTCTCTGGGGTTCCGACAAGGTGTCCTGTGGTGAGTGTTAGTTAGGTCTCTGGGGTTCCGACAAGGTGTCCTGTGGTGAGTGTTAGTTAGGTCTCTGGGGTTCCGACAAGGTGTCCTGTGGTGAGTGTTAGTTAGGTCTCTGGGGTTCCGACAAGGTGTCCTGTGGTGAGTGTTAGTTAGGTCTCTGGGGTTCCGACAAGGTGTCCTGTGGTGAGTGTTAGTTAGGTCTCTGGGGTTCCGACAAGGTGTCCTGTGGTGAGTGTTAGTTAGGTCTCTGGGGTTCCGACAAGGTGTCCTGTGGTGAGTCTTAGTTAGGTCTCTGGGGTTCCGACAAGGTGTCCTGTGGTGAGTGTTAGTTAGGTCTCTGGGGTTCCGACAAGGTGTCCTGTGGTGAGTGTTAGTTAGGTCTCTGGGGTTCCGACAAGGTGTCCTGTGGTGAGTGTTAGTTAGGTCTCTGGGGTTCCGACAAGGTGTCCTGTGGTGAGTGTTAGTTAGGTCTCTGGGGTTCCGACAAGGTGTCCTGTGGTGAGTGTTAGTTAGGTCTCTGGGGTTCTGACAAGGTGTCCTGTGGTGAGTGTTAGTTAGGTCTCTGGGGTTCCGACAAGGTGTCCTGTGGTGAGTGTTAGTTAGGTCTCTGGGGTTCCGACAAGGTGTCCTGTGGTGAGTGTTAGTTAGGTCTCTGGGGTTCCGACAAGGTGTCCTGTGGTGAGTGTTAGTTAGGTCTCTGGGGTTCCGACAAGGTGTCCTGTGGTGAGTGTTAGTTAGGTCTCTGGGGTTCCGACAAGGTGTCCTGTGGTGAGTGTTAGTTAGGTCTCTGGGGTTCCGACAAGGTGTCCTGTGGTGAGTGTTAGTTAGGTCTCTGGGGTTCCGACAAGGTGTCCTGTGGTGAGTCTTAGTTAGGTCTCTGGGGTTCCGACAAGGTGTCCTGTGGTGAGTCTTAGTTAGGTCTCTGGGGTTCCGACAAGGTGTCCTGTGGTGAGTCTTAGTTAGGTCTCTGGGGTTCCGACAAGGTGTCCTGTGGTGAGTGTTAGTTAGGTCTCTGGGGTTCCGACAAGGTGTCCTGTGGTGAGTGTTAGTTAGGTCTCTGGGGTTCCGACAAGGTGTCCTGTGGTGAGTCTTAGTTAGGTCTCTTGGGTTCCGACAAGGTGTCCTGTGGTGAGTCTTAGTTAGGTCTCTGGGGTTCCGACAAGGTGTCCTGTGGTGAGTCTTAGTTAGGTCTCTGGGGTTCCGACATGGTGTCCTGTGGTGAGTGTTAGTTAGGTCTCTGGGGTTACGACAAGGTGTCCTGTGGTGAGTGTTAGTTAGGTCTCTGGGGTTCCGACAAGGTGTCCTGTGGTGAGTCTTAGTTAGGTCTCTGGGGTTCCGACAAGGTGTCCTGTGGTGAGTCTTAGTTAGGTCTCTGGGGTTCCGACAAGGTGTCCTGTGGTGAGTGTTAGTTAGGTCTCTGGTGTTCCGACAAGGTGTCCTGTGGTGAGTGTTAGTTAGGTCTCTGGGGTTCCGACAAGGTGTCCTGTGGTGAGTCTTAGTTAGGTCTCTGGGGTTCCGACAAGGTGTCCTGTGGTGAGTGTTAGTTAGGTCTCTGGTGTTCCGACAAGGTGTCCTGTGGTGAGTCTTAGTTAGGTCTCTGGGGTTCCGACAAGGTGTCCTGTGGTGAGTCTTAGTTAGGTCTCTGGGGTTCCGACATGGTGTCCTGTGGTGAGTGTTAGTTAGGTCTCTGGGGTTCCGACAAGGTGTCCTGTGGTGAGTCTTAGTTAGGTCTCTGGGGTTCCGACAAGGTGTCCTGTGGTGAGTCTTAGTTAGGTCTCTGGGGTTCCGACAAGGTGTCCTGTGGTGAGTGTTAGTTAGGTCTCTGGTGTTCCGACAAGGTGTCCTGTGGTGAGTGTTAGTTAGGTCTCTGGTGTTCCGACAAGGTGTCCTGTGGTGAGTGTTAGTTAGGTCTCTGGGGTTCCGACAAGGTGTCCTGTGGTGAGTCTTAGTTAGGTCTCTGGGGTTCCGACAAGGTGTCCTGTGGTGAGTGTTAGTTAGGTCTCTGGTGTTCCGACAAGGTGTCCTGTGGTGAGTCTTAGTTAGGCCTCTGGGGTTCCGACAAGGTGTCCTGTGGTGAGTCTTAGTTAGGTCTCTGGGGTTCCGACAAGGTGTCCTGTGGTGAGTCTTAGTTAGGTCTCTGGGGTTCCGACAAGGTGTCCTGTGGTGAGTGTTAGTTAGGTCTCTGGGGTTCCGACAAGGTGTCCTGTGGTGAGTCTTAGTTAGGTCTCTGGGGTTCCGACAAGGTGTCCTGTGGTGAGTGTTAGTTAGGTCTCTTGTGTTCCGACAAGGTGTCCTGTGGTGAGTCTTAGTTAGGTCTCTGGGGTTCCGACATGGTGTCCTGTGGTGAGTGTTAGTTAGGTCTCTGGGGTTACGACAAGGTGTCCTGTGGTGAGTGTTAGTTAGGTCTCTGGGGTTCCGACAAGGTGTCCTGTGGTGAGTCTTAGTTAGGTCTCTGGGGTTCCGACAAGGTGTCCTGCGGTGAGTGTTAGTTAGGTCTCTGGGGTTCCGACAAGGTGTCCTGTGGTGAGTCTTAGTTAGGTCTCTTGGGTTTCGACAAGGTGTCCTGTGGTGAGTGTTAGTTAGGTCTATGGGGTTCCGACAAGGTGTCCTGTGGTGAGTCTTAGTTAGGTCTCTGGGGTTCCGACATGGTGTCCTGTGGTGAGTGTTAGTTAGGTCTATGAGGTTCGGACAAGGTGTCCTGTGGTATATAACCTTGTCGGGGTATAAAAATGACCGGGAAAGGAAAATTGTTGAATACAATTGACGTCTGAAACTGCTAAAATTAAAAACAGGAGACGTGTTGTGTTAGTAACTTCCGGTGTCTGGTCTTCAGGGTTCCGACAAGGTGTCCTGCCGAACACCGACACAGAGTTTTGGTAAAAATGAGGTCGGGTTTTGGAAGAATTAAGATCGGGTTTAGTTTGTGGTCAATTTTACTTTTTAGGTTGGTTTTATAATCATGTAAAATTGTGGTCGGAATCCTACTTCAGCCAAAAGTGCGCTGACATTCATAGCGAGAAGCCCAAATATAGTGTGCACTCTTTCTGTCATAATAATGATTGATTGATGATTAACAATTAGTTACCACTTTTATTAATGTTTTTTATTGCTGTGAAGATCTTGTACACAACATGATTAACACCTGCAAAACAGTCTGCCAAAAATATACCGACACGTAAAATTCCATTAATTAAGCAATTATATTCATGATGTATTTTAAAATTTGTTATAAAGTTATAAATAGTACGGTATAAATATTAGTCGGCTGAGAATGGTGCAGCTGCTGATGTTCGTGGCAGCTTCATAATTCTATAATTACGACTTTCCTGAACTGACCCAAATTTATATTTTCTTTAATTATTATTCTGTTTCTTAAAAGTGTTATTTTATTTTCTCTAAGGCGGAGGACTCGTCACACAATTTTGTGACAACATTACTCCATCGAGCTATCTGATGTCTGTTCGTTAAAAACCGAAGATTAACCCATTGATATTATAAACGAATTGATAACAGTAATTTCCTTTAATTTCTTTGGCGACTTTTAATTCTAATCTTTTTAAAATTCCTAGCAGCTCTTTCAGCTAAATGTTGATTGGCGGAAGTTGGCAAGTTTACTGAAAAGGATGACGTTTGTGAAGCGGCCTCTTCTTCTCCAGATATTACTCCTTATATTCGGTATTTTGTTCATCAATAGTAGATAATATTAGATTTTTGTCATTTTCGATAAATAATTATTTCGGTATCAAACAATTCGATTAAATCTAATTTAAATTTTAAATTGAATTCGACAGAAAGATGAAAAACATAAGATATATAACGAATAATACCAGCTATAAGTTGGATAACTGACAAATAATGACCATCTGACAGGGATACAGAGATCAGTAGTACAAGCAGGACGGAAGGGTGCAGGGGGAGGGGGTGACATAAACCGTCCTGACGAGGATCCTACAGAGATTCCAACGTTAGTTCCCTCTGTAATAGTCTTCAGTCCGGGATTTGTAATTATTAAAACAACTTCACTATCCCGGACGAATCTAGTACTGACAAGTGACATGCAATGAAAAATGTAAATCTCACCAACTTAAATTCCAAAAATTATGGTTGTAGGGAGTTGTGGCCACGATGAAGAATTATATTCGGTTTCATCGAATATGGAGTTATCGCTAATAACATGGAGTTGTCACTAATAATATGGAGTAGTCACTAATAATATGGAGTAGTCACTAATAATATGGAGTTGTCACTAATAATATGGAGTTGTCACTAATAATATGGAGTTGTCACTAATAATATGGAGTTGTCACTAATAATATGGACTTGTCACTAATAATATGGAGTTGTCACTAATAATATGGAGTTGTCGCTAATAATATGGAGTTGTCACTAATAATATGGAGTTGTCACTAATAATATGGAGTTGTCACTAATAATATGGAGTTGTCACTAATAATATGGAGTTGTCACTAATAATATGGAGTTGTCACTAATAACCCCATACTTTCGACTGTAAATCCCCTCACTCCCCCAGGAGTGACTACTTCTTCATAGTGGACACGGAGAAGCTGCTCAGCAACTACTCAGTTGTAGAAGGGTCACGTGCTAAGGCACTTGAGGCTGTTAACGTTAAAGAGCAAACTCGGTACAATAACGATCAGGACAATTTAGGTGGGTACCGATCACTGCTCTTAGTATTTACACAATGTTTCTTTATTACGTTGTTTCATTAGAGTAGACCTTCACACGAAATTGAGGTTTAAAAGCAACAACGTGTGATAGAGCCAAAACACTCCCTTCCGAGTTATCAATCACTCCCTGCTTCCCTCTTTATCAACCCTCTGACTCTCCTCGAATAGACCACCATCTGATCCGAGATTCTCATTACTATAAGGATACATGTTAGAACTTGATGCATGTTAGAACTCGAAACTTGCGCCTGCGGCGAGATAACTTTACTGGTTCATTCAGATTTTCACTAATTCTTCTGAAACAAATCTGCGGCACCCTCTAAACTGTTAGTAATACAACCCCATCTGCCCCAACCTCAACAGCAAAACTGAAGCAAAACCATCCTTTTGCCTGAATCTCGGCCTGGTGACTGTTGTAGCGGTCTAGTTTGTACACATGAGATTCTATAATTAGTCTTTAGTTTTTAACTCCCGCCACAACACTTTCTCAGTAGACTTGAGAAAATGATCAGATCTGATCTATATCACTAGTATCTGATCTATATCACTAGGATCTGATCTATATCACTAGTATCTGATCTATATCACTAGTATCTGATCTATATCACTAGTATCTGATCTATATCACTAGTATCTGATCTATATCACTAGGATCTGATCTATATCGCTAGTATCTGATCTATATCACTAGTATCTGATCTATATCACTAGTATCTGATCTATATCACTAGTATCTGATCTATATCACTAGTATCTGATCTATATCACTAGTATCTGATCTATATCACTAGTATCTGATCTATATCACTAGTATCTGATCTATATCACTAGTATCTGATCTATATCACTAGGATCTGATCTATATCACTAGTATCTGATCTATATCACTAGTATCTGATCTATATCACTAGTATCTGATCTATATCACTAGGATCTGATCTATATCGCTAGTATCTGATCTATATCACTAGTATCTGATCTATATCACTAGTATCTGATCTATATCACTAGTATCTGATCTATATCACTAGTATCTGATCTATATCACTAGTATCTGATCTATATCACTAGTATCTGATCTATATCACTAGTATCTGATCTATATCACTAGTATCTGATCTATATCACTAGTATCTGATCTATATCACTAGTATCTGATCTATATCACTAGGATCTGATCTATATCACTAGTATCTGATCTATATCACTAGTATCTGATCTATATCACTAGTATCTGATCTATATCACTAGTATCTGATCTATATCACTAGGATCTGATCTATATCACTAGTATCTGATCTATATCACTAGTATCTGATCTATATCACTAGTATCTGATCTATATCACTAGTATCTGATCTATATCACTAGGATCTGATCTATATCACTAGTATCTGATCTATATCACTAGGATCTGATCTATATCACTAGTATCTGATCTATATCACTAGGATCTGATCTATATCACTAGTATCTGATCTATATCACTAGTATCTGATCTATATCACTAGTATCTGATCTATATCACTAGGATCTGATCTATATCACTAGTATCTGATCTATATCACTAGTATCTGATCTATATCACTAGTATCTGATCTATATCACTAGTATCTGATCTATATCACTAGTATCTGATCTATATCACTAGTATCTGATCTATATCACTAGGATCTGATCTATATCACTAGGATCTGATCTATATCACTAGGATCTGATCTATATCACTAGTATCTGATCTATATCACTAGTATCTGATCTATATCACTAGGATCTGATCTATATCACTAGGATCTGATCTATATCACTAGGATCTGATCTATATCACTAGTATCTGATCTATATCACTAGTATCTGATCTATATCACTAGTATCTGATCTATATCACTAGGATCTGATCTATATCACTAGGATCTGATCTATATCACTAGTATCTGATCTATATCACTAGTATCTGATCTATATCACTAGGATCTGATCTATATCGCTAGGATCTGATCTATATCACTAGTATCTGATCTATATCACTAGGATCTGATCTATATCACTAGGATCTGATCTATATCGCTAGGAAACTTATACAGTTATAGTTAGGAGATATTATATGTTATAGTTAGGAGATGTTAGCTATTTAATTCCGATATCAGACTAACTTTGATATTAATTTGAGAGGTGTTTAAGCTTTACTTAACACCTCTCTTAAATATTTATTAAATACTTCATCGTCGCGCCTGAATGATGTCAAGTTGACGCACGAAAACTAAATAGCCAGTATTTGATGAAATTCCAGCCGTCGGGTGATTAACAAAAATGAAAATTTGCCCAATCCAATAAGGGTAAACTAGTGTTTTCTAACTTGTTTCGGCCCCGAAACAGTTTACTTGCAGACTTAAATGCATTGAGGAAATGTCATATATTGAGCAACCAACAATTGTGGCAAATTCGAGTTACAATTTATGTTGAATCATGATATTGATTTAAACTCGAAGTCGTACTCGTATGTTTTTTGTTTTTTAACGCAAAACGTTTTGATCCACCCAAAGTTTTCCGGCCTCTTTTTTCGGTGCTAACTGTTTCCTGTCAAAACTAAACAGGAAACTTTAAGGCCGTATACCTTGTGGTCGATGGCTGTAGGATAACTAAAACAAATCCGATCTAAAGAATAAAGCTGAAAACCCTACAAGCACCATGACTAGTTGTAACCCAAACATTTTTATTCCTGGATTCGTTTATAGAATTTAAGATATGAATATGTTGGCTTCATCATTAAATACAGGAAGTCCTTTACTTCTATAACATGGCAGTTGATAATAACGATATTGACAGACTTCTCACTCCAATCAAAATTAAATTTCCCATGTCGGGACCTCGAGCTGTCAGGACTAAATAATGTTCCTCTGTTACCACTTCCGATTGAAAATATCGAGCCCTGATATCACCGTATAAGTACTTCCCTTTTTCTGTCATCATAACTATTAAAACTAATCAATCGAAAATGTCGTCAAAATATACGTGGCAAGATTTCGTAGACGCGTTCCCTATTAAAATTGTTACTTTATTAGCGCATGCTGTTCATGGTTAAGATTTATGACAGCCGATATAGGCAAACCACCCAAATCTTTTATCAATCACCATAATATTACCACTTCCTATATAATATAGATACCTATAGAATATTGATACATTTTTGCCGTATAAGTTAAAGTCTGATAAAAGTTCCACGCCCGGCCGCCCATAAATATTAATCGAAAGTTGTATGTCAAAAGATTGTTAAGTGACAAGAATCAGACATCTCCCCGATAAGTCATTTGCGCTCATACTCATAGCCCAGACTTAATGATAGCCGAGAGGGTTTACGGATGATCCAATAAATATCTGTTTCAAATATTAGATCACCGGCGATCTTGTAACGTAGTTCGGCGGGGAGGTTTGTAGTTTATAAACTTACAATGATAGAATGATAGGGAAAGGATACTTCTCCAAAGAGCTTAGGATCAACAATTCTGTTAAGTTGGCGGTTTTTCATCACTATCCCTGTATAACCGCAGCTGCATGGTACTGTTGTTATAGCACTGCCCCGGCACCGTTGTGGCACTATAAGGCAATACTGTGGCCATACTATGGCAATGTGGTTATTACAAAGGCACATATTAGGTGCGATGGGTGCGGGATCGCACAATTTACCGTTTTCCGCACGTTTCCGCATAATTTTTTGTTTTCCGCACATTTTGTAATTTTCTGCATATTTCCGCATAATCTAGCATTTTCCGCGTAATTTCGCATAATTTTGAAATTTTCGCGTTAAGATTTTCGAGTGTAAAAACCAAAATATGTCAAAAGTCGGGCCCTTTTGGAACTCATACCTAGGCCACGTGACCCAGTTACCACGTGACCCATGCCCTTTCGGGACCCTGACCCAGGCCCTTTCGGGACCGTGACCCAGGCCCTTTTGAAACTCATGCCTAGGCCACGTGACCCGGTTACCACGTGACCCAGGCCCTTTCGGGACCGTGACCCAGGCCCTTTCGGGACCGTTACCCAGGCCCTTTCGGGACCGTGACCCAGGCCCTTTTGGGACCGTGACCCAGGCCCTTTCGGGACCGTGACCCTTTTGAAACTCATACCTAGGCCACGTGACCCAGTTACCACGTGACCCAGGCCCTTTCGGGACCCTGACTCAGGCCCTTTCGGGACCCTGACCCAGGCCCTTTCGGGACCCTGACCCAGGCCCTTTCGGGACCGTGACCCAGGCCCTTTTGGAACTCATACCTAGGCCACGTGACCCAGTTACCACGTGACCCAGGCCCTTTTGGAACTCATACCTAGGCCACGTGACCCAGTTACCACGTGACCCATGCCCTTTCGGGACCCTGACCCAGGCCCTTTCGGGACCGTGACCCAGGCCCTTTTGAAACTCATGCCTAGGCCACGTGACCCGGTTACCACGTGACCCAGGCCCTTTCGGGACCGTGACCCAGGCCCTTTCGGGACCGTTACCCAGGCCCTTTCGGGACCGTGACCCAGGCCCTTTTGGGACCGTGACCCAGGCCCTTTCGGGACCGTGACCCAGGCCGTTATGGAACCCTCGTCGTTACCGTACTTCGATTATAGTGTATCAGTTATCATTCGTAACTTCACCACATCATCTGATTACTCTATATCACATCACAACGTCATGGACCGTTTCCTAAAACGAACAGCTACAGACAGTGACCCATCATCAAGCTCACCACACAAGAAACAGAAGATACCTGCATCAGCAAAACATTCCGTGATCCAAAGTAGGTGATAATAGAAGAAGTAGGTGTAAAGGGTAATGAGCTCTATTCGTTGTAGCGTTGGCTTTATAATAGTGGGCTTAATGGATCTTGGATCAAATGGTTCACAAGTACTGACGATCAATGCCAACAAGCGTGTCACATATTTGCGATCACGCATGGGATCTGATCGACTCTATCAAGAGGCGTCTTCAAATACCTGTCTCCTGATCTCTACCAGATCAAGTCACTGTTCTCAGATAACTGAATTTCAATATAGATTCAATCATGGTCTTAGTAAAGAACTACACCCTCAGTAACACATAAACAGACCTATTTTTGATAAGAGCGGCGGTTATACGTTTAGAATTTCCAAAGTCCTTGAGAAAATGCAAAAGAAAACCGCACAATTCCCGCACAAATTTCGAAAAAATCGCCGCACATTTGCCGCATAATTGGTAAACATTTACCGCACCTTACCGCACATTTTACCTTTATAGTCGGGTGCGGTACCGCATAATTTCGATTTTCTTACCGCACCTAATATGTGCCTCTGCAGTGAATGTGGTATCACCATGGCATCGCTAATCGCTTCTCGGCGACACTGCTCACATTGCCGTCTTATGCGACAATGCTTGTCACTTCCCTGGCACTAGACTAAATTATTAAGTTACTACTTCTTTATGAATGTTAAATATACAGAATTGTACAAAATAAAAGGGGGATTCCATTCAGCTATAGGATTGTAAGAACAGCTGGCAAAATGCGACCATTCTACATACCTTATTTTCAGAACTGTGTACCTACTGCAGAGGGAAGGTAGGGAACAGTACAACAGATGTGGAATGCAGAGACAACTCCCGACAGATCTGTTGGTCTAGTACTGGGTGTTACCGTCTCACCTTCACTGACTTTACGTCTCAACTTTACCACATAGAAAAGGTTTGTCACTGACTTTACGTCTCAACTTTACCACATAAAACAATTTGTCATGATAGGATATGATAGAAATTAATGTCAGATCGCTGATTTATGATAGCCGATATATCATGGAGTGATAACTTCTAACCTGTATCAATTAGCAGCCCATTATCTCTGCTTGATTTCTGCTAGTCACGGCTATTTTCATAACCTAATTCCTCTGCAGGGCTGTTGGAATGAGGACTTTAGTGGGATGTATGGTATGTGTATGAAGAAATGCAACACCAAGAGGGAGGGGCTACCAGACCCAGCCCAGAGAATCAACTGCTACTGTGAGCTTTGTCACGGCCCCATGTGCAACCGAGAATTATTGATATCAGGAGCACGGTCCGTGTTTATAGGGGTGAAGATCACAGTTTTAGCGGCTCTTCTGTTTCACATGATCCGGTTGTGATGTTTGGTTGTGTATCCCTGATCCTGCAATAGTAGTTAGTCAGAGTAATGATAAGTGGGGGGTAACCTCACACGTGTGAGATAAGTAGCTGATAAGTTAGGGAGATAAGGTGAACTATAAGCTCATTGTTGTCATCTTTTTACCTATATTTTCTTGAGATTACATCCTTTATACAGTTTCTCATCTTCGTCAGATATGATGAGATTGACTCATGGCTGATTGAGTGGTGTTGAGATATTGGGCTACACTAGTATCAGTTAGATGCTTTGCTGTGTCAGAGGAATTTGTAAAGCACTTTGAAATATCTTTTAGAAGGCTACGTGGTTTTTATTTTTATTTTTAGCCAATGAATTTGTTTGAATTCCTATGAAATAAAAAACACTTCACCGTTTACAAAGATTAAAGTAGACACTCATGTTACTTTTGATCAAGTCACATAGGAAATCGCAAGAGAGAAACTCGCTGATATTTTTGATTATAAAAAAGACGAAGGGACAAAAGTAAAACCAGTTTTATAGTCAGCAAAAACATAATGAAAAAGATAATCAAAATTTAGCGAATATTTTTGATAGCAAAATAAGATCGAGAATTGTATAAAATAAAATCTTTGAGGATCAAGTTCTAGTTTTAAGGTTGCGGAATTAAAGTTTAAAGGGCCTGCAACATAAATTAATAAAAATCATTAAATCATTTTGACAAAATGATTTTGGTCTTCATTAATCTTCTTTAGTAGCATTGACCATAATTTACAACGTTTGGTTTCATCAAGCTAATTCTAATCTTTGACATCTTTGGGGGTTTCGGGAATAGCAACTCCAGTAGTATCAGGCAGGAAGAAAGAAGCAAAACACCCACAGAAAGCCAAACCGGCGAACAAAGCCAGGGGGACCCTCCTATCACTAACTCCGTACAGTAGACTTACATAGGGTCCGAGGAAACTGCCGACCCTGGCACTACTGGAACTCAAACACATTATCATGCCACGGTGTGAGGTCGGAGATAGCTCTCCTGTGTACAAATAGACCATGGCGAACGCCGCTGATCCAGATATACTGCCGAGTAAACTGGCAACATATTCCAGCGTCCAGGACTCTGAAAACTGCACGTGTGCCATGGCTATGAAGTTAAATGCGGCTATACCTCCGAAAAAGAATATTGTGGCTCCTTTTCTTCCAAGAAGTTTGCAAGTAGGTATCGAAGAAACGTTCCCAATAGATCCTCCCAGCGTACCAAGTAAGTAGCTGGTGTAAAGATTGCTCCCAATTTTGCTCCAACCAAAAGTGTATGCAAATCCTATGATTGCGACGAAGAACCAGCAGAGCATGCAAAGAAGAGTCCTCTTTAGCATAGCCGGATATCTTTTAAAATCACTGACCTGTTTGAAATAATTTTGCACCCTTTTCTCGTAAATTAGATTTACACCTTCAAAGCAGAAGCGGTTGCCTGTAGCCTGGAAAAAGGACAACAGACATTTTTTTGCTTCCTTTTCCTCAACTCGGACCAAATGAAACCTAGGGGATTCTGGAAGAGGATTTACGATATACATGATAGTGCTAAACGCGCAAATTCCAGCTGCAGCTAGGTAAATATTCTGCCATTTGTCAACCAAGTACCCAAGAAGCGCAAAAATAAGAGAGCTTATAGACCAGCCCATTGGGAACAAGCCACTTGCTATGTTCCGGAGGTTTGTGGGGGCAAATTCAATGATCCAACAGTAACATCCCGTGTAGCTGATCATCATGCCAAACCCAGACATTATCCTAAATACGAGCAGGGCCTCGTAGTTGGGGGCAACACCGCTTGCTGCAGTAGCCAGTGTGGTAATTGCACTTCCAATAAGTGCTCCTTTTTTTCGACCTATCCTATCGAAGATTCCAGTTGAGCATAACAGTCCAAAGATTCCACCAAAAAAATATACTCCAGATATTGTAGACAACTTCGCCTCGTTCTTGCAGTAGATATTCCAGTCCGTTGTGAAAGTCGTCTTTTTTGTGGCCCAATCAAAATCTATCCCAGCGATCAAGTCATTGTCGCACATCGTCTGTTGAGAGAAGAAGGTTTCTTTGTCGGAAGCTGCTGCATAGAGAGAGGTGCATTTTTTCGAAGAGCATGTCCAATCTTTATAGGGTATGTTTCCAGTCATCACTGTCATGTCGGTTACAGCACCTGCGTTTAAAACCGTACTGAGTGCGGCACAGTAGATGAAAGCAAGCCTAAAGTTCAGTCTTTTCACAGTTTTGTCGATAACATCTTCGATCGTGACAAATTCTTCTTGACGAGAATCGTTCGGCTTTTCTTTTTCAGTGATGGGTTCGACTGTAGTCATTTTAAGATGTGAGTCAAACGATTAAATTTAAAGATTACTACAAAAGCTGTTCTCGTAAAGAAATGAAGTGAACATGAAGTGATATCGGTATTTATAGCCCTAAATGATAAGACGGAATCCCGAATCCACATAAGAATAATTTAGGTTTAAGTTACTACTGTTCCTGATCGAATCAACAAAAGTTTAATTTCAACAACAGTTCCTGCTGATAAATTTTCGATTTTTGGAGTTATGACCGAAAGTGAAACTTCGTGAATTCTTGTAACATTTTAAAATGTATTTTCGGCCAGAGTTGTTTGGGTTAATTCGTTAAATGAATGAGACGCTGATAAGACGTCTTTTTTGTAACCAAGACTAAACATTTGGTGTACTACTGTTCCTATTGGGTGGCGCTCAACCTGTCATTCCGCCGAAGCAGCCTGGGGTTCCCAGGTAACTACTGTTCCTAATCGAATCGAGCGATAAGATTACTTTATCGGACATGATTGTCACGGACATGTTTTTCACGTACCAAATTTTTCATGGACATAATCATTCACGCTAATGACCGCCCAAAAATGTCCAAAACATATTTGTGAACATTTGTGGTGATTTTTTAATAAGTTTTTTAATCTTTTTTCTGAACTCTAGAATGTGACTGAGGAGTGATTTTATTTGTCCTAGTATAATAATAAGCTAATAAACTTATACAGTAATCGGCTACTGCAGTCTAAACACATATCTACGCATATGACGGCATATTATGTAGAGACACACACTAACATTAATGGAAATAATGAAGTTAATAATTACCGGACTTTATTATTTTCATTAATTTTAGTGTCTTCAGCGTGAAAGTCCGTGATAATTATGACCGATGAGGTAATTTACGAGCGTGCTAAATCACTCTACACTCGATCTTCTCGATCGAGGTGCCAGAAATTTGATTTCGTTTGGAGGAAGCTCACTGCAGAAAGTTTAACAAAACGAATATTCATATTTTCCAATCTTTGTCCCATTTTCAAATATGATAATTTCTAAACAGAAATTTGACAATTTGGACGGAATTTTTGCCCAGAGACCAATTAGTCAGTTAACTATACATGGCATATGACACGATTGAGGTGCTAGAATTTTGATTTCGTTTGGAGGAAGCTCACTGCAGAAAGTTTAACAAAACGAATATTCAATTTTCCAATTTCTGTCCATTTCAAATATGAAAATTTGCACAACAATTTGGAGGAAGCTCACTGCAGAAAGTTTAACAAAACGAATATTCACATTTTCCAATTTCTGTCCCATTTTCAAATATGAAAATTTCTGTACACAAATTTGACAATTTGGACGGACTTTTTGCCCAGAGACCAATTAGCCAGTTAATTGATGATGGTATGAAACCAAATTGAGGTACTGGAAGTCAAAATCCCGAAGAAAATTGAAAAATCGTATCGTCCCATGGCCATACCTATTCTGTCCCATTTTCAGTTTTTGAGGATGAATTTTTCAGGACCGAAATTTTACAGTTTTGACTGAATTTGTCACCCGTAACCAATTAGTCAGTTAAATAAAAATAGCATATGACACGATTGAGGTGCTAGAAGTTTGATTTCGTTTGGAGGAAGCTCACTGCAGAAAGTTTAACAAAACGAATATTCATATTTTCCAATTTCTGTCCCATTTTCAAATATGAAAATTTCTGAACACAAATTTGACAATTTGGACGAACGCTTTGCCCAAAGACAAATAAGTCAGTTAATTGCAACCAAATTAAATTTGCAACCAAATTAAATTTGCAACCAAATTAAATTGAAACCAAATTAAGGTACTGGAAGTCAAAATCCCGAAGAAAATTGAAAAATCGTATCGTCCCATACCTATTTTGTCCCATTTTCAGTTTTTGAGGATGAACTTTCCAGGACCGAAATTTTACAGTTTTTACTGAATTTGTCACCCGCAACCAATTAGTCAGTTAACTATAAATGGAATATGACACGATTGAGGTGCCAGAAGTTTGATTTCGTTTGGAAGAAGCTCATTGCATCGCAGAAAGTTTAACAAAACGAAAATTCATATTTTCCAATTTCTGTCCCATTTTCAAATATGAAAATTTCTGAACTCAAATTTGATAATTTGGACTAATTAATTAGTTAATTGATGATGGTATGAAACCAAATTTTTTTGGTTTCAAAATTAGGACCAAAATTTTATAGTTTTGACTGAAATTCTTTCCAGTCTTAAATAAGTTAAACGCGTAGGATTTGTGTACAAATTAATTCCGTGTATTAAAATATCGAAGAAACACAGCCTTTGTTTTGGCCGATAAGATCGGAAACCAGCAGTTCACAAAACAAGTGAGAAAATTAGCAATATCCAACATCCAAGCCATACTCCGCAGTCCGCACTGTTTACATTCTTTGATTTTGTTGTATGCTGGATCTCTATAGGAAGCAAAAGCTTTAGCCTCTAATTTGAGGGTTATCTAATTAGACCACCCTGCAACACACTGCACAATGTTTCTGTATCACGCCCTATTACTATTTTAACCGAAGTTGCAAAATTCGCGGTGTACATTTTTAACCATAAACGGCATACGACTCATTTACATGATTGTCCGTAATAATTTTTCTCATCTTCAAATATCAAGGCCCATTTTTTATTTATTCATTAATAATTCGTCCTTCTAGAAACTCAGTTTATATTTGTATCTTAATACCTTTTCTTGTGTTTGAATTATGGCCTAAATTCTTTCCTCCCTGATCGCGTTAAAATAAGGTCTTACTGTACCCTAAATACGACAGTTAATCTCAAATTTATTTTACAGCTTCTGTATGCACGAATGACCGATTGAGTGCCAAAAAATATAAAAGAATAGCCGCCGTTTCCTTGGAATGAATGACATACTTAAGATAACCGAGCTGTTCTATCTATACGCTGTGCAAGGAGCTCCAGTACATTCTTCAATTATAGTATTGATCCTCATAGCACGACTTGATGAATCCATTTTATATAGAAGTATGAAAGATTTATATTGAAAAATGTATAGCATTGTGATAACGCCGAGGGAGGAGATGTACTTGTAGCTGCAGGTGAATTTGACAACTATGACTATTGGTGCAACAAGGACCATGTTTATGTACAATTAAAGTTGCAGCATTTCAATTTGATAGCTGTTTCATATTTAATCATTAGAGTGGGCTCCACTAAAATAAAAATGTTTACCATATGGTTTAAATGAGGGGAAGCAACCTCCATTCAAAGGCAAACGCTCTTGTTAGCTCATATCATTATCTCATTGTACTGAACTTTATAACATGGCATGACTGTGAACAATCTCCCCTCACATCTCATTAAGTGAAATACTTGAAGAAATAAACATGCATGAGGCACAGGATGATAATGAAATATTTCTGCCTTCATATCTCATTAAAGTGAAATATTTTACCGAAACATTTCAACTGAATCCACCCTTGAGTCACGGCAATAAAATGTTCCGACCTGGTCACAACATCTCAATACAGGGAAATATCTAAACTATCACATGACCCCTGAAATTTCAATCTACAAATTCCTCGCATGTTACAACTATGATGTTGACAATTCAATAGTTCTGACAGCGCGGGTCCACCGTAATTACACACAATACAGCCGCACGAGCGCCTTGTATTGAGTGACACAATGAGACCTGTCACGTGACCTCCATTGTTCACCACACAGTGTACTTGTCACACCGGTACCTTCTCTTATACCTGCCTGTACACGATTTTACTAAATCTTAAACCTGTCCGGTTCGGCGTATGAAAACTTTAGTTTTTTTGTTGCTGCAGTGTAGTTTTGGATTCATGAGAATACCTTGTACTCTGGGATAGAGGCTGGAACCCTGTTTTGAAGAAGCGATTTAGGAGATTTGAGATTTGAGGTTTAAGCGCTAATTAAACGTAAGTAGTTAACCTTCCCCTGGGCTGTTGTTTCTCTTTGTTATGGGTATTACTGTGTGTCACAGTGTCAATAGGGTGATGCACGGACAGATTACCAGGTGGGTGCTGGGAATCCGTCCTGCTGACTGTCACAGTGTCACAGTGTCACAGTGTCACAGTGTCACAGTGTCACAGTGTCACAGTGTCACAGTGTCACAGTGTCACAGTGTCACAGTGTCACAGTGTCACAGTGTCACAGTGTCACAGTGTCACAGTGTCACAGTGTCACAGTGTCACAGTGTCACAGTGTCACAGTGTCACAGTGTCACAGTGTCACAGTGTCACAGTGTCACAGTGTCACAATGTCACAGTGTCACAGTGTCACAGTGTCACAGTGTCACAGTGTCACAGTGTCACAGTGTCACAGTGTCACAGTGTCACAGTGTCACAGTTTCACATTGTCACAGTGTCACAGTGTCACAGTGTCACAGTGTCACAGTGTCACAGTGTCACAGTGTCACAGTGTCACAGTGTCACAGTGTCACAGTGTCACAGTGTCACACCCTTATATTACAGTCGGTAAGAATAATTGTTTTTATTTGACTTTGTTGTATAATTGCAGATCAGATGAGGTATAGTATTTTACCCAAATATACGTGCCCGAAAAGTACTACATGCCAACTAATGAGCAAGCAATATCCGGACAAATTCTTTAAATACCAACAGTTGTCAACTTTACACTTTAAAACAATGAACGTCAATAGTCCGAATTCCACTTGAAAATCGATCCTCTCACTCTCAGCGCTAGTTAACATTTCTTGATAATGTTTTTGATGTTGTTAATTTTACACGGTACGACTGCGGGGCTACTTCAAATTCTCATGGTTCATCAAGCTGGAATATTATTATCTATAAGTCGATGTCGCATAAAAGTATAAACAGGTTAGATTGTCTATACTACTAGATTGACTATACTACTAGTTCTGGATGGTCTGATACTTCATTTGAGAGTGAAGTCGATAAAAACATGTTAACTTCCATTTATGGGTTTTGGAAGTTTCTGACAAGGGTTAATTTTGGAGCATGTCGGTGAGCACGTCCATTACTCCGTTTCTAAACGTCGGCAGCAGCGTGTAGTGGTCGGAGAAGCATCGGCCGTATTCTGCGTGCAATATCTACGCAACAGCTTTAGTTTTACTATGTCGTTTATATTTATAAGTTTGGGGACTATCTTTATGTGCTACTAAAAAGTACTCGTGTGACAAATACAGTGCACTTATAACTATCACTAAGAGATATCACTAAGAGATATCACTAAGATATCACTAAGAGATATCACTAAGAGATATCACTAAGAGATATCACTAAGAGAGGCTTGAGCTGAATCTAATTTTAGGCTTCTGATATCTACCTTTCCACTTTCCAGTCACGAAATTATCAGTTGCATGTCGCTTGTCTTAATTTTTGAGTAGATCTTATAGTTATGGTTCGGATACACAAAAGGCGACAAATCATATTTTATTGATTCTCCTATAAAGTTGAACAACTTCCATTCAACCTTATATTATAATTTGTAGATCATAATCACCCAAGCCAAGATAAACAATTCCTGCTTGTTTTCAGGTCAAAGAGGAGAAACGAGTCTCAGCGAAGAGGTCAAGTGAGGTCAAGTGAGGTCAAGTGAGGTCAAGTGAGGTTAAGTGAGGTTAAGTGAGAAGTGGAGCACTCGGTTCACTTCACTGAGGCCAGGGGGCAGAACCTCCTACATCAGGATCCAATGCAGGTCACCAAAAGAAACGTGGAGGACCGCCGGAAAGAAATGGAGGATCGCAGGAAGTCCACCTACAGCCAAGGTGAGTTTCAATTCCATTCAAAAGTTAGTTCGCAGTCCCCCAGCATGGCAAACCCGTGTTTAATTTGTTAATGTTCTAAGAAACTCAATACAAGAACAATTATCATACAACAGCTGCGCCACGTGTTTAATAGATTTTGTAAAGATTTCATATTTGTAAACCTTGTAATAGAGCCACGCTATTCACAATAGAGAGCATGAATTTCAAAGTGAAACATTAGATTTTGACTTGACCACATGGCAGCAGTCTGAGTGGTAGAGTGGGCGTGTGTTCACTGTTCAGTGTTGTCATATTTGACTTGCCGACTCCAGTGACGGTTTGAATTAGCAATCAGTTACAGAAACCAACGTGTTATGCACAGATCTTTTGTCTCGTATATATCATAGACAACCGCATCATTATTATTAAGTCTGCACCAGCGTTCCGAGCTGTATACTGTTCCAGGTCCCTGTGTCGCTAAATTGCATTTTTGTCTCGTAATAGTCGATTTTTCATCTGGGGATGAACAATGTAAAATGAATATGTAATGAGGCAAGGCTAGCGGTGGTTTGGAATTATTCAGTCGTTCGAAGCTAATGATGTTTTTACAATTTGTTCTTTTTGTAGAGTAAAACTTTAACAGTAAAACTTCTTCATCTGAGGATGAACCATGTAAAATGTATATGTATAATGAGGCAAGGACAACGGTGGTTTGTAATTATTCAGTCGTTCAAAGCTAATGACGTTCATATTTGTTCTTTTTGTAGAGTAAAACTTTAACAGTAAAACTTTAACAGCAATTGTAAAGCAACCGATATTTTTACCATTAGTTTGTAATATTGCATGAAATTTAATATTCTGTTTGGTGTTCAGCGTACACACGAGCTTCCTATGGTTCAATATATATATCTTCACTATTCTTACGGTAAATAGGTGTGGGTTTACTCATTTAGTAGTTTAAGTATATGCATGTCAGAGTAAGATTTGTGAATTGTGAATCTCCCTTAAACATCTCACAACTAGGTTGAAAGCCGTTTAACTGTACTTCAGTTTTTCCGTCTCAGTAATTTGCTATTTCTTGTTTTCAACTTTGGAGGACGGCTCCTTACCGTTCGTACTTCGTGATTTATAAAGCAATTGCTTCATTTTTTCTTCATTTTGTTTGTTCTTGACTTTCAAATAAAGGCAGCACTGTTGACCATTTTAGAACGTGAATGGCAATAAAAGCGGTGGTCCCCCAACGCTCTATTTTACGGATAAACCATAAATGTATTGATATTATGAATGCTAATTTATGTAGTTGTCAACTGTTCCGTTGAAGTCAAGCCGTTGCATAGAGTCTCTGCATAGAGTCTCTGCATAGAGTATCTGCTAGAAAAGTCTAGTCAGGAGCCTGTGCTAAGAGAGGGATGTACCTATCAGATAACTAAACACATATTGATATACCGTGCGGTGGGACCTGGCACCGTCTGGTTAAAACCACTGATGCTAACATGTAGGCATATTTAATGAGCATCTGTTTAACAGAGTGTTGGAAATTAAGAGGTGCGAGACAATGGTTTAGATTTTATTTACTTAGTTTTCAGGTGTTCGTTGCCATCATGTCCCTTTCTTGGTTTTATTTCATGAATTGAGAGTAGCTATTGTCACCTTGTCCGATCATTGCCACCTTGTCAGATCATTTAATTCTCACCTGCATCATTCGTTTCTGTTGTGTGTTGTATATGGCACTTTTTCAGTCGTGGTGCTATTGGTCCGCTTGGAATTTGGGCATAACTTCCGCGGCGTAACGTTACAATAAACTATGTAATCACATCATTATAACCAATAAAATAAATTTAATCACAGAATCTCAGATATAATCATAAATTAATATATCTAATCGTTGCGTCACTAAAGTGCCTCAACTTCAATCTCATGAGGGCTGCGGATTACGTTCCAGCTTGATAAGTTATTCATTTGCCAAGATTAACCCTCTTCTACTTTTTAAATTTTAATATAATATCGATAATATTGAAAATCTCTGCATTATCTAGTAAATAACATCTACTTGCCATCTAATAATAATTGTAATGACTTTTCTGGGGATATTTTTGGGAGGAAATATTTGTCTTTATAAGTATATGTGTTTTTCCTGATTTTAAAATTAATTCTTCTTTCTGATGTTGCGTTATAAATAACGTTTGACCCTAACCATATTTGTGGGCCAAAGTTAGTACACAGCGGTTCCAAGTACGCAAATTTGATAAAAATATAAAACGAGTAGCGCGGCCGATTGTGTGGAAAAGTACGATATTCCGCACCCATTGCACTTATATATTGGCATTGCCTCTGATTTAAACGAATGGGTTTGGAGGGGGATTTGTTTAAAACATAAACGAAAAGCTGTATTAGCAGGAGCTTTCAAAATACATGTGTAAATCGTCTTCAGCTAGAATGAGTTTGCCTTGTTAAATAACTTTGTATCCGTATCGTGCCCTATCTACTAATCTTACTATATATAAAGCGAGACGATATATATCAGAGTTGAAAAATACGTGAGATAATTTTTTAAATACGCCGTATTTTGCGTATTTTTGCTTAGAAATAAAATACGTCAAAAATACGTCATTCGTTTGCATTTTTTTCAAACACATTTCTATTTAACTTCAACGCTTTATATAATGCTTTGGTATAGCACGTGCCCAGTACTCTGAAGTCATATGCGAGGTGAAAAACGACAGAGCTACGCGAGTTTTGATAAAATCGTAAATTTATATAAAGCAATAGTACTTATTACTTTATTGGAGCTATCAATGGTACAAAAACGCTTTTTACGTATTTTATTCAACAAAAATAAAATACGCCGTATTTAACGTATTTTTGATATTTTATAAAATTCGTAAAATACGTATTTTTCAACTCTGATATATATGGTTCCGTGCCATTTTACTGACACCACGGCATCAACTTTAACGCGACTTTCCGCAAAAACCGTAAAAGATATAAAACTGAAACTTTTTTGGCTGGGTCAAATGCTTTAATGGCCTTCAAATCAGCATGAAAAAATAAAAAATTGGTCAAGAAATAGGAGTTTTAGAGCTCAAAATTTGGACCCCCAAGTGGTTTCAAAAACGCGAATTAAATAGGTACCTAATAATTATTTTAGTCTCTTGAGTCTTGACACCACTTTAGGGTTAGACGGGTTCCTGCTAGTATTGATAAAGGATGATATGTTTCCAGAACCCCATCTAGTCCTGATGTGTTCAACATTTGAACTGCAACTTACAGGAGATAATTAATAGTTACCGAGTATCCAGCCACATGTGATTCTATTATTTTACTCTAATTTTGTACAGCACTAGTGAGTAGTGCCAGAGCAGCGAATTTTTATAGTCTCTACATTTTAAAGTTTTTCACGGTAAAGTTCGACTATTTCAATAGATTTTGTTCACTCTGTTTTTGTTTTCATCTTACTCTATCAACTGGTTTCATATTTTGTTTGGAGTTTGGAATTCCTCTTCCTACCGGACCTTCTTGAGGAGCATCATAACAACTGACCCACTCGCGCAGTGCGCCTGTACCTCGTCGTATTCGTGATGCTGCGTCGGAGCCTGCGTGTTCGGGACTAAAGATGAAAGACCACTTATATCTTGGCTCTGTCGAAAGCATAAGTATGTTTGTTATTTAATACTTCATACGAAGGTTCAAAGAGTTAGTTTCTACCCTTGATAGTTGATACTGGCGATATTTAACGATTCATATGAGTTGCTTAAATATTTGTGCACCTAGAGCTTGATAAAAGTTTATATATGTTATCTGCTACTTATTCGATAGAGTTGAAAAAAGTCGATAAGTTGTCTGTTATTAAACGTTAAAAATTCGATAAGTTATCTGTTATTAAATGTTAACTGCTTAGATCATATTAAACTATGGCTGTTCAGCAATGCAGCTTTGCACATCATCCAGGTATCCTATGCCAGCTGCCTATACTTCTTGGAAGTAGAATAAGGAACTATAATTATGGAACTGGACGCTCGAGACGTGACATTGAGCATACATTTAAAAAACTTAAACACGTACAGTGTTTGGTGTGCACTTTTTTGCTGCTGTTAGTGTCTCTCTGGAAGTTGGATTAAATTTCTGTTGGCTAGCCAAGTTCCTTAGTATCCACCATCATCACAGACCTATTTTCTGAACAGACATTTTTAAATTGTTTGTTAACCATTTTTTAATAGTAAGTCGGATAAACTTGATTTTCAAGGTTAAATTAATTAGTTTAAGTCAGGCTTTGTGCTTTATTCCCTAACTTTACAACCTCATAGGATTTATATCATGTCCACAACATCGCTTTACAATTAACAAAAGATATATGAATCCTAGTAGAAAACTGTGTCTGCAAATTAATTTTATATATGTATAAACTATAATAGTAGTACACTTGCTTATTTTCTATGAGATTATCATGTACGATTGGCACGCTGCTAGCTGGAACACGCTAGATTCAGTTGGCTTCTCTTTGTCTTCTAGTTATTCCGAGGTTGGATATAAGGAACTAAACGATAACCGCTGAAAGAAAATTAATATTAAGTTCGTCCATTTAAGCCATATTAGGAAACGGATTTTCCTATCTCCAACTATTTTCTCAAAGTTTATCGGTTTAAATAAACGAGTTTCAGTTTGCTTTGTAACTTTCTACCCGTATCGTGTCCTATCTACTCTGCATTAAATTTCGGTGTTATCTTTCGTTTCCTTATTCAAATCTTGATTTTGATTGTCGTTTGAACTATTTCTGTTTTCCCGATTGTCCTTCAGATACAACTTTAGATTCAACTATAAATCTCGTTATATCACAATAACGAACTGTCCAAACGAGATTATTTGCAATAACCGGAACCAATACACAACTGTACACAACTAGGACGTTGAAGAAGAAAGATTCTGCTCCACGAATGTACAGACTCTGAAGCTGATCTTTAAAAAATTAAAGATTATTAATCATTTCTGGGTGTGGAGGTTGGATAATCAAGTTGAAGAATGCC